CCTCATTATCTATAATGGAGATGTCAAAGCTGGCAGAATCCAGCATTTGGTAGTTTTTAGATAAAATCACTGCTTCAGTACATAATCTAGCCCTTAGTAGTTTGTTTGTTTACTTATTTATTTTTAGACAGGATCTCACTATGTGGCCCAGGCTAGCCTCACACTTGGTCTTCCTGCCTCAGCCTCCCAAGCACTGGGACTACAGGTGTACACCACCATGCTTGGCCTCTTAGTGGTTTTAAACAATCTGTTCAACATTTTAAACCAAAAAGAGACCTCAGCAAAACCTTTCATGAATGCTAAAAATAAAAATTCCTTAAAGTACGGAAAATGTCAATACAATTATAGTGAAGGACTTTAATACCTCACTGTTACAAAAAGACAGGTCACCAGACTACAATTCAACAAAGAAGTATCAGAGTTAAACCTACCTATCAAGCCAACAGGCTTAACTGATATATATTGTTATCCAGCAATAGCAAAAATACACATTCACAGCAGCACAAAGAATTTTCTCCAAACAGACCATATCTTAGGCACTAACGTATATTTAAATAAAAAGAAATTGAAATAATCTCTTGCAATCTACTGGTCATAGTGGAAAGAAACTAGAAATTAACAACAAAAGAAACCACAGAAACTATAATAACACATGCAGATTTAATACCACACTGTTGAGTAATCAAGGAGTCAAAGAAGTACTCAGGGAACAAATTCAATGACAATGATAGTACAGCACATCAAATTATGGGACAGAATGAACACGGTTCTAAGGGGGAAGTTTATAGCTATGAATGCACACATTAGAAAAACAGAACAAGCCTGAATACATAATGATGAATCTCAAAGCCCTAGAAAAACAAGAGCAATTCACATCCAAAATAGAAGGAAAGAAATAAAAACCAGAGCAAAAAACAGTGAAATTGAGGCCAAACAAAAACAACTATCAATGAAGCAGACTGGGTTTTTTGAAAGGAAGATTGAAGCCATTTATAACAAATCTGCTGCCAATCACACTAAATGGGGAGAAGTTGAAAACATTCTAAAGTCATGAAGAATACAAGGTGGTCACTCTTTCCATGGTTGGTTCATACAGTATTCAAAACTAGCCAGAGCCATCAAACAAGAGAAGGAAAAGGGATATGAATAAGAATGAAATCAAACTATCTATGTTTGCAAATAATATGATCTTTTACACAGAAGATTCAAAAAACCTCTACCAAAGACTTACCAAACTCAGCAAAGTGGTAAGATTCAAAATCAACACACAAAAATCAATAGTGTTCTTCTGCACCATAATGAATCTACTCAGAAAGAAATCAGGAAATACTATTCACGGAAACTTTCAAATATGGAGTATTGCAGAATTAACCTAACCATGGAAGTGAAAGATGTAGAGATATAGATTTGAGACAAAAGTCTGATGTCCCAAGAGAGCAGGGAACACTGGACTGAGCCCGAGGAGGGTTGCTGTCTGTTTGCAAATTCCCAGAAAGCTGGGACCCAAGGCAGCAGGTAACAGCTTCTCCTGCAGGCACCCTGTCCTTTGATCCCTTGCTTGGGATGTTATCAGCTAGCATGTGTGAACCTAGTGTTAGGCAAATGGTGGAAGTCAATAGAGATAGTAGTTTGTATTCACTTAGGTAATTATGCACATTCCTTAACCTGCCTTTACCCTTCAATAAATGTGGGATGCTTCTGAGGCTCTGGGCTCACTTGGAGACAGACTAATTTCAGTGAGACCTCTGAAGCTACATTCATCAGGTCTTCTCGTCGTTTCTTTCAGCACTGACTGGAAACATACAACAGAAAGATCTCTATAACAAAAACTACAGAACTGTGAAGTAGAAATTGAAGAAAACATTAGAAAATGGAAAGACATTCTGTGTCTGGACAGGCACAACTGATATTGTCATAATGCTCAGGTTCCAACAATGACAAGTAGATTTTATGCAATTCCAATCATATACCAATTATATCCTTCACAGAACTAGAAAAAAGTCTGAAAGTTTACACAGAACCAGAAAAGATCCAGAATTATCAAAGAAATTCTGAGCCAAAGGAGAAAAGCAGGAAGCATTACAATCCTGGATTTCTAATTATCCTCTAGAGCTATAGTAAGAACACAGCATGAAACTGGCACTGAAACAGACATACAGATCAATACAATAAAACAGAAGACAATCTCATTGACCTTTAGCTACCTGGTCTTTGACAAAAGGGCCAAAGCAAATGTTGGAGAACAGACAGCCTCTTCAACAACTTGTCCAGGAACACTGGTTATCAACATGCAGAAAAATGAATCTAGATCCGTATCTCTAGCCCTGCACTAAAATAAAAATAGATCAAAGACTATGTACATAAAAACAGAACACTGAATCTACTAGAAGATAAAATATTTAGAACTACTAAAGTCATAGGTATAGGCAAGGACTTACTGAATAAAACTTCAGTAACACCAAGGAGCAACAAGTGGGCGTAACATTAAATTGAAACAATTCTGCCCAGAAAAGAAACAATCTACAGAGTGAAGTGACCAAAGTATAGAATGAGAAAAAGTTTTGCCAGCTGTTTCTTGGACAGAGGTCTGATTTTAAAGAACAACAACAACAACAAACATCACAAGATCCACTTAAAAAAGTGGGCACGTGAAACAGACACTTTTCAAATAAAGAAATACAACCAGCCAATAAATACATGAAAAAAATGCACAGCGAGTGTCTTTGGCCATTAGAGAATTGCAAACCTAAACAAGACTGATATCCACCTCACTCCAGAAAGAGGGGCTGTCACAAAAGAATCAAAGATAACAACTTCTGATGAGGCTGTGGGGAAAAGGAGCCCTTCTATATCACTGGTGGGAGTGCAAACTAGTACCACCACTGTGCCAATCAGTATGAAGATTCCTCAAAAAGCAACAGGAATTCCATTGGACCCAGCTGTCTCCTTGAAACACATTAGAGTGATGCACGCACACACAAATGCATAGCAGCACAACTCACAATACCTAAATTATGTTTTTTATTAAGATAATTTCATGTGTTTTCCCCATTTAGGCTTTTTTTTTTTTTTTTTTTTTAATTTTATTCATTTCTGTGTGTGTATGTGACTGGCTCAGCCCACCAGGGGGCGGGGCTGGCTGGCATGTGGTGCTGGGGATTGAACCGTGGTCCTTGTGCTTTAGCTGAGCTTGTTCTAAGTAGGTGCTTTAGACCACTGAGCCATCTCACCAGCCCACAATACCTAAATTATGGAAATGGCCTACACACTTGTCAATACATGAACGAATGAAAAATGTAGCATGCATATGTAATAGTGTACTATTAAACCATAAAGAACAAATGAGTCATTTGTAGGAAAATGAATGAATCTGGAAACATAATGCCAAGTGAGATAAATCAGATATAGAATGTCAAATATCACATGATTTCTTATATGAGAAATCTAAACTATAAATAGTCTAAGGAGTAATATAAATGAGAGATAGTAGGAAACACGGAGGTAGACTTTTTTGGAGATTGGGAAAGGGGCTGGGGAAGAGAAGTTTCTGGTGGAGGACGAGGATTCAACATAATCAAGGTACAATACGTATATGCACCAGTTGTTCACAATTAATGTAAATACTATGTCTCACAAATACATACTCATTAAAAATAAACAACTAAAAATGAAACAAGTCAAAGGTCTACAATTAGTTTTTGTACTGTGTAGTAGTCTCCTCATACCCAAAAACCCAGTGAAGTGCTGGATGGTCCCAAGCCTGAACCTAGGTATGCAGTAGGACCGCTACGGCACAGAGTAACTGTCACACACTACTTACTGCACACAGTATTGACACATAAGATATTGACACATAAGAGCGACAGAAACACTGGTTCTAAACCTTGGGAAATATAATTCTTCCATGTCCCTAGAGTTTCTGAGACTGGGAGAGGTGCTGAAGAGAAGGCCTCCTCCCTCCCATCAGCTGCACAATGGTCAAATCTAGGCACACTGGTCAAATGAGGCACTCAACAACATTATTTCTTCATAGGATATTTTACGCTTATTTTTCTAAGAATATTATTATAGCAAAAGTGTTCACCAAGTATGTTTTTACTCTCTAGGTTTTCCTGCTGGGGCCCATAGAAATTATATAGATTCATGACCATATCATGAGGTATTTAGAATTCCACTTATCTCTGACCTCATTTGAGAAATGTTGGTCGTGTGAATGATGTCCTTTTCTTAAAGCTTTCTAGGTCTCCTCACTCTGTCACTGCTCTAAGACTCAAAACAGCTCGCCCCAAGGGAGCGGCCATCATTGCCACAATATACCAGCTCCTCCAGTGAGGAGGTGGGGCCACCGCTCCCGGCAGGTCTCACCAGGAGTCTCTCAACACAGTGTGAGCTCCATGAGTCACCCCATCCCACTATATGCTATTGGCCATAAGAATTAGAAAACCAGTGTTAAACATAAATACTACTGCATTAGCTACAGTACCTACAAAATGTAATCTAGAAAAAATGCATACAGAACACTGAGATTTCTTGGTTACAACTTCCTCTGATGTGTTTTAGAACTCTGTCGGAGATAGCTAATAGATAATGACTCATTAGATGTGATAAGCAATGGAAATATGCATGAGAGCTCTAAATTCAGTGGTCCACAAAAGTACTATTCCAAGTTATTTTTTTATTCCTGATTATAGGTAGTGACTTACAAACACATTCTAAACTCACACCATCTTTTAATTTTCACCTAACTAGGCAAACGGTGACCAAGTGTATCTCTGAATTGCAAGTTCACTACAGCAGTACTCTTCATTTACAAAAGCTTTTCACAAATTCCTCAGATGTGAAACAAAATGTTCCCAGAAAAATCTTTTTATTTACATATGTATCCAAGAGCAACTGACCTTCAAATTCTTTACTTGCTATTTATGTAAAAATATTCTGTAGCTTGAAATCTGAAAAGGAATTAAAATGACTGAGAAAATGACAGCAGAACTGGGGCTTACCTTCAAAAAGGCTTTCTTCTCCAAAGCATTCATGATAAAAGGAGGGATGGCTGGAGGTAAAGACAGAGACACTTAAACCTTTGTTTAATGTCATTTCCAGCTCACTTTACCCCCCACTCCCTGTCCCACAGTATGAGAGAAAGCCTGTATCATGTTAAGATTTTTCCACTGCCAGAGTAAAATCAATTCATAATATTTTAAAAATTCTTAAACTTATTGATCAATATAGCATGTACATGTATTAAATTATCACAGTGTAACTCATATCTGTCTAATTAAACTGGTAATACATAGATTATAAATCAATAAATTGAAATTTATTATATTAAAAAATTAGTTTCACCTTCTAGATTTCTGCAAAAACAATATAAAAGCCATGAAGTTTTACTTTTTTTTTTTTGCGGAACCGGGGATTGAACTCAGGTCCTTGTGCTTGCCAGGGAAGTGCTTATTCTACTGAGCCATCTCCCTGGCACCATGAAATTTTATAATCTTTTTTATTTTTTATTTTTATTTTTAAATTTTTTTTATTTATTTGAGAGAGAGAGAGAGAGAGAGAGAGTGTGTGTGGCCAGCTCAGCCCACCAGGGGGCGGGGCTGGCTGGCATGTGGTGCTGGGGATTGAACCGTGGTCCCTGATGCTTTGCTAAGCTTGTTCTAAGTAGGTGCTTTAGACCACTGAGCCATCTCTCCAGCCCTATAATCTTTTTTAAAAAATGTATTTGATAGAAAGTCTCACTATGCAGCTTGGACTGCATAGTGATCCTCCTGTTTTCAGCCTTTTCAGTGCTGGGCTTACAGGTGGACATCTCAGCCCACCCTAGGCGGGGGCCAGTGCAGCATGTGGTGTGGGGAATCCCATCTGGTCCCTGCCCTTGCCTAAGCAGGCATTTAGTCTGCTGAGCTATCTTGCTAGCCCAAAGGTTTATAATCTTGAACAGCCTTTTTTTTGGAGACAGGGTGTCACTATGAAGTTCAGGCTGGCCTTGAGCTCACTGTGTAGCCAAGGCTGGTCTTGAACTTGCAAAGATACTCCTGCCTCCACTTCCCACATGCTAGAATTACTGGCGTGCCCTACCACACCTGGCTTCTTGAACAGAATTCTATCTGTAACATTGTTCTTTATTTTTGTTTTTCATATTTAGTTTCAACTTAATTACATTTATTGGTACCATTTAGGTATATATAATGATCACATTCATCATGGGGAATTTGTACGTGTACATGATATACCTTGATTTGTACAGGCAGCAGTACAAATATCAGGAACTTTTCCTCTCATATTAAAAAACCAAAGGGGATTTTACTTAACTGTCTAGCATGCATGAGGATCACTGTAGAAGTTCTTGCCACAGTACATGCTGGATCACCTGCTAGCCAGACAGTGCTGGCAAAGTTACTTGACTTTTCTATGTCTCAGTTTTCTGCTTTTCCAGCTATGAAATGGGGAACATTATACTACATTGGCTATGATGATTAGATGAGATAGTGCAGGTGAAATGTGGGTATGTGGTGAGCAGCATTAACTCATTACCTTACAACTTTACTAGACATAACTGTTACATCAGCTACTTCAATATATCAATTACCATCATAAATTTCACTGGGACAGAAAGATTGAGTTTCTTCCCTGGAGACTTAATAGTGCTTAAAATAACATTACTGGAAATGGGGTTTTGGACTGGTACAACTCCAAGAGAAGCATGACTGTTCAAAACTGGGAAAGAACGAACCCAAAACAAATGCAGAGCGGGAATTGGGGTTGTGATATTATTTTCAGTAAATCTGGAAATCAGGGCTCAGTAGTCAGGGTGAATCCCACAGTGTCTCTTATGTAGCGACAAGAACACCGCTCCCTGATCTGGGCAGAGTTGGCCTACACTTTAGCACTGTGGCTTCCTAGACACCCCCCGGAACACACTGTCTCCCCAAAAGGACACTGAGTGTTTCTCTGTTAAATCAGATAACGCTGACCTTCCCCCAGTTATTTGGAATGCGAGCAGTCACCCCTGCTCCTCAGTGTCCATGAGGTACTGGACTCAGAACCCTTGTGGATATCAAAATCTATGGATGTTCACATCCCTTATATAAATGCTGCAGCATTTGCATGTATAGTAACCCACACACATTCTCCTATACACTTCAAATCATTTCTAGGTTAGACAATACATTATACCTAAAACAAGGTACATGTGTTGTGTAATAGCTGTATTCAATTGTTTGGGGAATAATGACAAAGGAAACAAAAGTGTGTACATGTTTAGCACAGATGTAATTTTTAAAAAAAACTATCTGTGAGTAGCTGAATCCACGGATGCTGAACTGTGGATACGGTAGGAGGGAGGACTGTACAAAATGCAGTTTTCCTTCTACTTTTGGTGCCTATTCTTGTCTACTCATGAGCATTCACAGCGTCAAAAGGAATTTGAAAACAAATTCCAAAACTTCAAAACTTCATTTGAGAACTTCCTTTTAATAGCCAAGTGCCGTTTGCATGTAGCTCAGGTGATAGTTAAACATACCAATTTGTGTTTTAGATTTTTTCCCTGCAAATAACACTACAACTCCTAGTCTCTCTGGTTTCTGAGTATGTCTCAGAATCAGCTCTGGGTCCCATTCTGAGGGTAGCTTTAAGCAACCCTGTGGGCAGACAAGAGGCTGTCAGAAAAATTATAAATACAAGGCAGCTTTTCTGTCTCTGGTCCTGCTGCCTCCAAGCTCCCTGGAGAAAGCTGAGCAGCTCCCAGGCAGACACTTAACCCTTCTAAACACTTCCACTTGTTCTGTGTTCGAAGAATTTCTGATTGCTACAAATAAATCTTCAGCAGAAATTACTTCTTTCTACGCATGAAAGTTTCAGTAAAGATTGGATTCCTTCCCCTCAAATTCTTATCAACTCTACTGCTTTTCTGGTCTGGTCCAAGGAGCTATGATCTCGTGTCACCAGCGCTGAGCCAGGGGGCCTGCCCATTAGCTCAGTTGTTTAAGTGACTTCTTAAACAAAGTAATCAGGATGCTGTGGTTCAATCTTCAGATCCTCAAGCCATACCAGACCTGCCCTGAAAGCATCCTCAGCCAGCAAAAAAACCCCAAAAAACAAGAAAAACCCCAAACAAAAAACTTCTGAACCAGCACTGAGCCAGCCTCCACACAACAAAGTCTGCACACTCTTTAGTCTGTTCTCACACAGCACTCGGAGCCCTGCATGCAGGTAATATTCATCTGCATGAAGCATGCTTTTCTCTGGCTCAAAACTCTGCATGGCTTCTTACCCCGCAGACTAAAAGCCAAAGCTTGCAGTCTCAGCAACCACCCACAAGCTGCCCAGCACCTCTCGGCTTCCCTCCTTAGCTCCCTTTCTCCTTGTCTGCTCCAGCTGTACCTTCTTCCCCACCAAGTCTCCAGCACAAGTGATCGGCTCCTGCAACCCCCTGGCTACTGTCTCTACCCAGAATATTGGCTCCTGACCACCACTTGGCTCATGCCTTCCTCTCCACCTGGCCTTCTTCCAGGCTGCGTCCTATGTCACCAACATTTCCTGTCCCCCTTAGTCCTTCTCGCCACTTCACATATAGATCAAGCATCCCTAATTTCAAAATCTGAAATCCAAAATGCTCTAAAATCAAAAACTTTTTGAGCACTAAAAACCACCACAGTGAAAAATTTTACATTTGACTCATGTGACAGGTCAGTCAAAATGTAGACATACAATATATAATTTATTGAACATCCTCAAGGAGAATAAAGGCCCTACAGTCCCATTCACCTGTGATATGCAAACTGTTTTATGTACATAATTATTCAAAAATTGCATAAAATTATCTTTAGGTCATGTGTACATGGTACATGAAACATAATTTCATATTTAAGCTTATGACTTTTCCTCAAAACAGCTCGTGATAGATATACAAATAACAAGCAATAAACAAAATCTTAAATGTAAACCCTTTTTGGGTCCAAGGATTCTGGATAAGGATACTAAATCTCAACTGTACTTTTATGTTCTTATTCATCTTCTGCCTCACCATAAGGTAATTTTCAAAAAGGGGAATGACTATATGTTGTTGTTTACTGATCCATAAAAGCTTGTTCAACTTAACCTTCTAGAAAAACCGAATGGATGGCCGCATCTCACTAACCCATGCCAGGCGCTGCCATGAGAATCCTGGAGATGACGACTTGTGCGATGGCCTGCTTGGCAGCGTTTGCTGATTCCCCCAAGCGGTTCCCATTTTCATCAGTGACAGGAATGCCAACTCTGAGTTCCCTGTAGAGTACAACACATGTAAAACAAGTTCTCAAATACCTTCATGCAGCATCTTGAAATAGCACTTCGCTGGGAAGGAGCAGGCCCTCACCTCATCCAGACACCCACTTGAATGTCACTTCTGGTGCTGACAAGTCTATTTTTAAATAGCACGAGTAAGTTCAGACTTCTTGTGATAGACATACAAGTAAAATCGCACCAGTATGCTTTATAAAAAAGGCGTACCTTTTCAACAACAGTAGGATTTGAAGCGTACATGTGCTAATTTAAAGATAAGGCTAATTTCTAGGTTCATGTACAAATTTGAGAAACTTTGTAAGTCAGAAATAGTTATAATATAGCATCATGCCATCTAGTCGTACTGATATAGAAACAGACTTACATGTGACCCTACTGAGTATTTATTAACTCTAGTTACTAAGAAAGTGAGGATAATTCTTGTCACCCATTTTTCACAATCAATTCCAAAATGCTTTTTCTTGTTCTTTCTTTTCCTTTGATTTTTGCAAGTTGTAATAACATACTTTTAAAGATACAGATTAATTTTTAAAAATCCCCAAAAGACAAGTCCACAGGGGAAAAAGGAATATTTATTATATTTTACTTTATTTTTGGTACTAGAAATTGAACTCAGGACCTTGTGCTTTCCAAGCAGAAAATCCCAGATGCCATAAATTTCTTCTGTACATATTACTACAAAAGTTTCAATGAAGCCAAGTATTTCAACAGATTCCTCTGTTGGCACAGGTTAATCTTACCTTTGCCTCATTAATGGAATATTAATGCAATTAGCAGCAGCTACAGCAGCAAAGGGAACAAAACGGCCTATCAGTGGTGAGACATGCTGCAGAAAAGAGAATATCAAAACATTATGTCACATTTCCTGGACAACAGAATGGACATACTTATCGTCTCTTAAAATTTAGAGCCCTAGGTACATAGAAACTTAGTCTAAGAGAACTCTTAGAACTTGTTTCTTAGCTGTAGTTTTATATTTCCAGCATGGGCAGACTAGGACAGAGCATACTCCTAGGATATTCTGACAGCTTACTGTGCTTGGAGATATATGGGTTGCAGAATCCCAAAGTCTTGAGTTCATATGCTGGCTCTTCTGTCTCTTCAAAGACACTGCCTGTTGTGTGGTCTTAGGGTCAGGGAAGAGGGGCAACTGGTACTAAATAGGGTTAGGCACATGCCATGCTCTTGGGTGATGTCACGGGTGACAACCCTTCTCACATTCTTTGGAAACAATAACTAAAATATGTAGCTAAAGATAATGAGTACAGGCCAAAGCTACATGGCTGGAATTCTTAGGAGAAATTATAGAGGCACTTAGATCCAGACAGGTGAGAAGAAGCTGGACTTCAAAGCTGAGTACCTTGGTTAATGCATTAAGTCCTAGAGCTGTTGCCACGGCACCAGTTGTTGCAGAAACATAAGCTGTTCCCAACTCTCTGAAGAGAAAAAAAAAATGAATGTGTAAATGACAAATACATGTCAGGAAATTCTACTTCAGTATTTGAAAAAAAAACTTGACAGAAATAGGCTATGCTTAAAAGTAGACACTCCAGAAAACAGTATGTAGCATCATACTATAAGCAGAAGAACTTGCAGAAAAAGCAAGTAGACCCCTAGAATAGGCTTCTTTACCCCTTGTTTAGGTAAACAAGTAGGTGGAGTACTCATGGTGGGAAGGAAGAAGGGCAGAGTAGAGCCAACTACAAAAGCAGAGAAATGAATCTTGGGCTCAGTGTTTGGAGCACACTGTCTTCAATTAAAAATACTTCTCAGAATATCAATATATATGGAAAGCAAAATGCAATGCTGCTATTCTTAGGACACTGTCTTAAAGGCTCATCTTCAAAGTACAATGAAGCACAAGCAATTCCCATGATTGAGATAATACTTGTGGGTTGCAGATTTCAGTATTTTTGCTTCTATTTGATAACAGTAAAAGAATACAGGCTGCCAGAGGCAATTTTCACTGGTAGAAAGAAAAAAAAAACCTTTTCTTTCAAGCATTACACAAGTTACACCACTATTTCAGGTTAACTCATCTCTCTGGCTTGTCTAAAAAAATTATTTTAACAGGAGTCAAATAGATAAACTCGTTTTTTTTTTTTTTTTTGGGGGGGATGAACTATTTCAAAAACAAAGCAAGTATAAAAGTCACACCATCGTGATTTCCCCTTGATTTCTGCAGAGAACACTGTTGACCCTTCTGGTTTGATTCTGGTTGCTTTGACTCAGGCAGGCTTGATGGGAGTACAGGCTGTCATTTCCCAGGGACCAGGCCTGATTCATTTATCATGTGTTCTCCAGGGCTGTGGGGCTCCAGAGTGTGTGAGTAATAACATTCTACCAGTACCACTGACAGCATGAATACTCTGAGGACGTAGGATGGAAGAAGATCGGTATTTTGAAACAGAAAGCGGGAGAAACACTTAAAAAGATGATACACAGTACTCTGTACAATGTGAACAATTTGGACAAATAGTTTCTCTTACATGAAAAACCTATAGGTATAAATAAATTCAAGAGAAAACCATAAGACAATAGGAAACAGGAGAGAAGATTTGTTGTAAAAGGGAAGACGACCAGGAGATGGAGAGAGTTGAGCAAGAAGGAAAGGGAACAGGCTAAGAAGAGAATTCAGATTTGTCAAGTCCACATATCAATTTCCCATGAAGTGTTTAATTATTATATATTTCAAACATGCATTAATAAAAAGTTAAACAAACAAATACATGCTAAAAAAAAGAGATTACCACCACTTAACCAAGCGCTGGAGAAGTGCAACAGGTGTTAACCCTTCTAGTCTTACTTCACAGTGAGTGGGGCGTCTCCACTTCTGTTGGTATAATTAACGACAGCATTGAAGGACTGGTTAATCCACTGCCAGAACAGCACAGCTGGAGTGGTCCTAAAACAAAGCAATCCATCACTCGTCCACCCTCACTTGTGACCCAGCCACTGTACACAACAGAAAATGCGGACACCCGCAGAGAGGAGGGTACCTGAGAGGGGCAGACACTGGGCCAGACTGCACATGGGTCACAGGCTCAGCACCCATATGGCTGTCCTTTCTGATCATCAGTTTTTTCCTCACCAAGCTCAGAGTGATAATAATGAAATAAAGAACACTGTGGACAGCCTGGCACAAGGTAGATACTAAATAAATGGCAAGTTCCTAAGGGCCAGCCAGATAGCTCAGCAGATTAAAGCATCTGTTTAGGCAGACGCAGGGGTCGAGGTTCAATCCCCAGCCTGCTGTGCTGGCCCCACCTCTGGAATGCTGGGCATGGTGGCACACACCTATAATCCCAGGACTTGGGAAGCTGAAAATAGAAGAATCACTACAAGTCTGATCTGTGTAGTGAGACCCTGTAGACCCTGAAGATCCTGTACTAAATACAAATAAATAAATAAATAAATAAATAAATAAATAAGTAAGTAAATGGCAGGTTCCTTTGTTTAAGCAAAAAGAAGCCATTTTCAGGCTCAGCAGTCCCAGTCTCTCCTAAATGTAACCCTATATGTGAATGCACGTTGATGCCTGTCTGCATGTCATACCCATACCCAGCCTTATACCTGTGGCTTATGCAAGCAGATTAAAAGGAAAATTCACTTATAGGCTTCATTTCTTTTATCTTATTTGCTTTTGGGCACAAGAGGCAGGGAAAACCAACTTTTTCTTGAACAACACAGAAGATGCTGTTCAGCAGAGGAAAAAAGTAAAACAGATCTTTGAATAGAATATTTATTTAAAGGCATTATGCTAGGCCTGGTGCTTAATAGCATAGCAATGTTTATACAAAGTGGGACTAAAACTGAAATGACATTTACGATATTCCTTTATTTTCTCCAAAGCAACACTAATTTTTTTTTTTTTTTGAGACAGGGTCTCTCTATGCTGCACAGGCTTGTCTTGAACTTCTGAGCTCAAGGGATCGTCTCATCTCAGTCTCCCAAACAGCTGTGACTACCGGTGTGCACTAACATACCCCCTACAATACCCCTATTTTATTTTTAATTCTTTAAAATTTAACTTTATTGACTGCATTTATGGGCCATAATATGAGGTCTTCAAATTATGGAATGGTTAAATAAAGCTCATTAACACACCTATTACCTATACACCAAGGAAATGACATTAACGTGAATAGAATTATTTATAAGTTAAATGCATACTTCGGGCTTCTGTGACAATGAACTGCGGTTGCACACCCACAACTTACCTATAAAACGTCATCATGCAGCCCGTGATGGTCATGTTCATCGGAACCTGGGCTGACATCCTTCCGATCAAAATCATCTTTTCACCGGTGTCCGGATGAAAAGCAGAATCGTATATGTATTTTGCTCGCCATAATTCATTTTCTGTAAGACCTGGAGGAACAACTCCTTGTCTAGGAAAATGACAACAAATAACACAGCAACTGTTCATTTCAAGTACCTTACCAGTGCCCTAGAGACAAGGAGCTACAGAGGTTTTAGAAGTTGATACAATTGTGCCTAGATGAAATGACAACTTTGCTAGGCACAGTTAGTAACTATTTTCTTTTTGATTCTTACTTTGTATTTGCTTATTAACTTTGCTGCTGGGGATTGAACCCAGGGCTTTGCATGTGCTCTATGAATAAGCACTTAAAATATTTCAAGCCTATCCTTCTCAAATTACCTGCAATTTGGAAAGTTAAAAAAAAAAAAAAAAACCAAACAACTTTGTATTCTAAAATGGTACTTAGTTTTGAAACATTGTTTTATATAGCATAATGAAAAATCTAACATAATTTTACAGACTCTAAAATATTTTTATCCAATTAGATGAAAACTACACAGTCAAAATTACTAATTCATTTTTAAACCAACAGCTTGGAATCCTCATTAGGAAGACATTAGTGAAAAAAAGTATGATGTATTCACTGTATTTTTTCCTTATCAAAAGAAACATGGTCAGTATCAAAAATTTAGAAAATACAGAAATTCATTAGAGCAATTAAAATCATGCTAGCCTTTACCCGTTGGTGACTACTTACAATGTTTTGGTGGATACATATCTAGAATCTCTATGCTCTGTGCTTAATCACTTTTAAAATTCAATAATATTTTGCAAGCATTTCTTCCTTTGTGCAGATATTTTTCTAAATTATCTGTACGGGATTGAACTGTTTTCCCCAAATTTCTATCCACCTACAGGTAGACAGCATTTTTTATTTACAAACTGGGTCTTTGTAGATGCAATAAGGATGAAGTCATATGGGATTAGAGTGGTTGCTAAATCCAGTGTATCCTGATAAGATGGCCATGCCCAGTGCAGAGAAGACATGTGACAACAGAGGCACAAGTGCAGAGATGTACCAATAATGCCAGGGGACACCCAAGCATTCCCAGGGCTATCAGGACCTATTCCCACAACGAGCCTTCAGCAGAGAACAGCCCAGCCGAGACCTGGATGTTGGAGGTTCTACCTCTAGAAATGGAAGAGAACACATTTTTGTTGCTTTAAGCAACCCAGATGGCGATAATCTGTCATAGCAGTCATGGAAAATAAATACATTATTCTTTTAAACGTTGCATAATATTCTACTCGTTATTTTAAAATAACATATAAACACTACTTTAAAGATTATACCAGAACCTCAGGTTTTGGGCATTTTAATTTTCCATTTGCAAAAAGTAGGTAAATAAACTCATACATAAGTATTTTGCCACACTGCGATTTAGAAACAAACAATTTACTGAGATAAAAGCTACATAATATATTAAAACTTTATGTTATTCATTATTTTATTTAAAATTTATTTATTTATTTATTTATTCATTCATTCATTTAGTTCAGGGTCTTCCTACACAGCTTAGACTTGTAGTGATCCTCCTGTCTCAGCCTCCCCAGCACTGGGATTATAGACATGTACCACCATGCCCAGTTTTGGAGGCCAGCAAGGCACGCCCGGGTTCCAGGACAGGCACAGCATGTGGTGCCAGGGGTGCTTTTCAGGTAGGCTATTAGACTGTTGAGCTATCTTCCCAGCTCCTTGTTCATTACTTAGATATATCTTTGTTTTAATCATATATCAACAAGAGAATTACTGTTATTTAGGTAATTTATACTGTACTTTACATTGTAGATAATCAATCTAACGTTTAATTTGGTTAGTGTAATGGGTTAACTCACATTTTAGGCCATAAATGTAAATCTTATATTTTCTGTTACATAAAAAATGTATACTCACCACTGTTCTAGGTTATTTAGTAACTAGTGGCTGTTTCTTGCTGTTTGCTAAGATAAAATTCCTTCCTCACTAATTCCTGTAAACAAAGTTAGCTTACAGAGATGACTTCAAAAGGAAACTAAATGGGCTTAACACGTTGTAATCTCGGGCTATGCAGGCTACATTTTGTGTCAGATGATAAATTGGTTTACCAACCAGAATGTGGTTCCATGTTTTAAAAGCCCCCGCTGCTTCCTGGGATAGCCACCTGCCTTTTGGTCCTCTCCTGCGTGAGAGCTGACTGGGGGCCCTGAGCGCAGTAATAAACAGCTTTTTACATTCCAATCTGGCTGATCTGGTTCCTATTCTGAGTGACCCATAACAGTTATCTGCTGTCCTAAAAATTTTGTATTTCTTATGCAACAACCACCTGGAAGTTGTACAAATATTCACCTAAATTTGTCAAATTATCATAATAGTTTTCTGGCCTAAAATTATAATTTATTTAGAATTTAATCTCGAAATTGAAAAATGTAGAACTTGCCTAACTTTAATTCTATGTTGGCTTGTTTCTATCAATTGAGATGTTGTGAATATTAAATGTACAGTATTGGGGGCTAGGGAGATAGCTCAGCGGTCTAAGCGCCTGCCTGGCAAGCACAAGGACCCAGGCTCCATCCCTGGTACCACAGGCCCTGCCTGTCCTGTGCTGTGTCTGCCACTGGAACCGAATGTGGTAGTGCATGCCTGGAATCCCAGCTCTGGGGAAGCCGAGGTAGAAGGATCACTGCGAGTCTGAGCTGTCTAGCAAGACCCTGTAACAAATAAATAAAAATAATAAAAGTTTAAAAATACAGTATTGGACTTAATTTTTTTTTAAAATGTATTTGTTGTTATGGGTCTCACTATGCAATGGTATTAACTGCTGCTAGAGAGAAATAAAATTGATTTTGAATGCTGATTTTGCACATTTTGGCCTTGTAAAACTCATGTAGTTGACTTTTTTTTTTTTTTTTTTTTTTTTTTTGTGAAGACAGTTTTACTTCTTCCTTTCTTTATATCTTTTATCTTATTTAATTTTTCTTTATGGCACTCACTGATACCTTTAGCACAATGCTGAGTGAGAACACAATCTTGTACTCTGCAGGGAAAGTGATGGTGATTTCACCATTAATTTTGACACAGGCTTGTTTCTTCCACGTACTCCTGGTTTGTAGAGAAAATTATGAATGCATGTTGGATTCTGTCAGCTTTTCCTGCGTCTTATTAAGATAGTCAATACTTCTCTTTTAGACTATGGTATGCTAGTGATTTGCAAATGTTAAACCAATCTCACGTTCAAGTCCCTCTTGAGTTCTGCTTATTTTGGGTATTACCTTTTTCCTTATGGTTAAAAGTATTTAAACTACTAAATCCTCTTGAGGCTATTTGTGTCTATGAGGGATACAATTCTATTTTTTTCTTGTAATCTCTTCATCTACTTTTGCTATCAGGGTATTAGTGGCTTCATGAAATGAAAGAGGAAGAGTTTCCTCTGCTATTTCCTGAGGACATCTCTGGGAGAATTGGTATTTCCTCCTATACAAAAGTGTTTTCTTTCATGTAAAATCACTTAGCCTTGGAGATTAAATTAGTCTCTGTGTTATCATCTTAATATTTGTTTGTCTCAACTCCTTTTTTGCTCCGAATGTCTTCAGGGCAGGTTTGGCTGGCTTGAGTTGTGGGGATCGAACCACAGCAACCTGAGCCTGACTACTTTGTTGAAGCAGCCACTTAAAGAACTGAGCTAAGGGGCAGGCCCACTCAACTCCTTTTTATTCATTTTTCCTCTTTCCCTGTCTTCTTTTGGATTGAGAAAATTTTGATAATTTGCATATTCATAGGTTATATATTTCACCATGATTTTCAAAATTTTAGCAAAGAAGCTAAGTAGTAAACTTTCTTATTCTTGTTGCATATTTTGAGTTGTGTTTGCTTATTTTATATGCATTAGACTTGCTAATGACTTACTGCACTTACTAAAGAGTTTTCTCATTTTTTAAAAGCCTATTAATTTTTAGGTTTTTTTTTTTTTTTTTTTTTTTTTCAGAACTGGGGATTGAACTCAGGCCCCTGGGCTTGCCAGGGAAGCATTTATTCTACTGAGCCATCTCCCCAGTCCCAATTTTTAGTTTTTTAAAATTAATCATTGTCCTTGAAAATCAAGGGCACAAGTGTAGCGGTTTCCGGTTCTCACTAATCCACTTCTGTATCACAATGACTAAGGAAGGTCAATATTTATGCCTTAGGGTTTCTGTTTGAAGAATGTGGCTAACAGTACTATCTACCTGTGAGGGTGACTCGGAGGATTAAACTAACAAATGTAAAAGGTCTCCAACAGTGCCTGACACACAGGAAACAGAATCCAGGGTTTGTGATTTTCTTTTCTGACTGTTGTAGTTTTCTAATTTCTCAAACTGAATGCTGAACTCATTATTGTTCCTTGTTAGTTAATTACTGAGGTAGGAAAAGACATGAACTTCCCACTACAGCTCAATTTCATCACAACTAGTTTCCTATTAATTTTCTCAATCCCTTTGCTCTGCAATTGTATTCTGGCTTTTCTTTTTCAACGAAGACTTAAAGGGAAGTGTTGAAAAACTGTGGTGTGAGTGGCTGGTGTCTCAGCCACCTCCTCATCACTGGGACCCAATGCCTGAGACCCACAAGTGAGAGGACCAAAGGCTTTGTTCTGGCTCACAGGGTTTCATTCTAAACTCAGTTGGCTCCAAGCAAGGAAGGGCATGTGGAAGGGCCCTTGAAGGAAAAGCAGCTAGGTCATGGTGGCCTGGAAGTATCCAGGGAAGGAGCAACAGAGGAAGGAGGGAGAAGACACTACCGCGTCACACCCGGTGACCACCATTTTGTCAAGGCTCCACCTCCTAACATCACATTTTGCTAAAATTCAGTGACCTGTCAAAACCCTCAGCAGTAAGAGGCTTTTGGGGGACATCCATATATAAACCAAAAAAATTGACCTATGAAAGACTGAAGTGTCTTAGATGTTAGAATTTCCTACTAATACTGAGCTTTAGTCAAGTTCAATTTGCATATCTTTGTCAAGTTCTTTGGATTTATTTGTGCTGATTTTTCCTTGTCTGATTTAAAAAAAAAATTTTATTGAGAAATAAATATGAATGAGACAGTTGCCCAGCTGATTAATAGGACAGTTTTGATAATCAATACATTGTACATTGTTATCTTCTTAGTGGCCATCCATAGTACAAGAAGCAGACAGGATATTCTGTCCAAACACTGTTAG